AAAGGCGCTCGTCTATCTTTCCCTCAAATAACTGACTGACTGACTATGTTGTCTTTTCGGAACACGTAATTGACGTCATTTTTGAATTTTTCTTCCTTGTCTTTTATTCCCTATCATCTTGTCATCAATAGGGAGTTCAAAGGCGTCCGCCTATCTTTCCCTCAATATACTGACACTGATAATGATACTGATTTAAGGACTTTTAATTTGTACTTAATCTGCGCAAACTATGTGTCTAAATCCATAATACGTAAATTGACTGCCGCCTATCCTTTCTTGCCAAACAACCTCCCTCCACCCTCAAACACAACTTATTTGGTCAGTACATATAAACCAAAATTGCCCCCAGAAAGAGGCCAAGACATCAGAAAATACCCCATTGAAGTAATTAGTTATCTTCTGCTCAAGAGGGTGTATAAACCCACATAACACGATATTTGATGAGTAGCTCCTTGGGAAATGTTGGGTTCAGTTAGTTTCCTGACCCTCCCCCCTGCAGCCTGGCTATCAGCCTACAATTTTGCAATAACATTTGGTTGTTTGCTTAAGGGTTTTTTAAAAGCAGTTTTGTCAACTGTTGTATTGAAATCGTTTTCACCATCAGTGACTTATTACACCTAATTTCAGGCCAGGCTGCCGAGACCCTTAGATTCACCGGAGGCAACAACATTGTTTTCTCGAAGCGTGCGCTTGACCCTGTTTATGTACAGTAGACGCCACGGATCACGCAACGTTTCGAAAAAGGCGAAAGATTGATACTCTTTAGCTAATCGGTATTGACTCAGGTTGTGACACTGATTATCGTGTAGTCTATTGTAAGTTTATTCCGTTCTGATAGGATGCGGACTTTTTAGCGAGCATCGTTGTGACTATCAGTAAAAGGTATCTATTGTAAGATCTGGATGCTTAAGTTGTATGCCTTTTTATCATTGATGTTGTCTGCCTTTATAAATTCAAATATAGTTTATGGAAAGCATGCACAAAAAAATTATTGCTTTTACTTGGTTTATAGCAAATTACACCTTCTTTAAATTATATACTCAAAGAAAGGGTAGCTTTCGGATATTAAAAAAGGTTGCTAATTCTGAGCTTTTTTACAATTGGGAGGTGTTTATTCATAATACATCGTATCGGCCAATTTATTAATGCTGCCTTTACTGCATACAATATGTTCCACATCTATTTCAACATTTAATGACAGTTATGTTACTTCTTCCTCAAACCATAGGCGACAACGTACTTTTTCTTAAAGGGGATGTACACAATGCGCAGTGTTTAAACCTTGAATTCGAGTGTAGCAGTCACTAGGTTAGGAAATTATTCGGCTATTGAGCAACTTATTTGATATCCGAAAGCTACCCTTTCTTTGAGTATATAATTTAAAGAAGGTGTAATT